GCAAAATTCCAGTTTGCGAGCGCAAATTACTGCACGCAAAATTGGATCTTGATAAATCCGGCCCCAAGTTTCTTAAACGATCACCTGTCCAGAGCAGAACTATAACCCTAAAACAAACACCTCCAAACGGCAATCTACACTAACAAGTTAACCTTCGATGCATATTTTTGGACTGTGAAAGGAAACCAGGGTACCTGATGAAAACCCTTGTGTTCATAAAGGCAACATACAAATTGCATACAGAAAAAGCTTAAGATGGCTTACAAACCCAGGAGCTTTTTGCCGCAAGCCCCCAAGTGCAGCAGCCACTGTATCAGAAGGGACATCTAGAGCGACTGGAATAAATACGTAAGAGTTGTCAGAACATATGCAGTAAAATAATACAGCAATGAATTAATACACTGATATGGTTCCAGGTACCAAAAAAATTAATATGCATACCAAATTAAAGGTTAAACCAAAGTATGCATTGATTTAAAAGTTTATCAGATTTAGAGGAACCAGATGACAATTCTGATTTATAATGACAGTACACCTTCATAAACATTCAGTTTATTGTACAATTTACTACTTCTCCACATCGGCCTTGTATCAGTGATTGACGAAGGCTTGTTAAATTTCTCAAAGCTAGAGGAACTTATCCTGAGTGCCAACCTAATCTCAGAAGTTTCTCCAGAGAACCTTCCCAGAACACTGAAGGCAGCAGTGTTGTATCAGCGTGATTCAGCAGCTTTCTACAGTTTATCAGATAAGTTGTTGGTTCAGTCATTTTTACCCATTAGGAAAGACTGATTCATCGTTAATCTGAGAGAGTAGGAAGCAATAAACTTTCCTCCTTCATCACCTTACATCAGAGAGGGTTTAACTTGCCCAATCTGAATCATATGGTGCAACAAAATGTCTGTAAATGTCCTTTGTGCAAAGGCAGATGTTGCAATGTAAAGATGGTTATCTTACTGAAATTTTTTTTTGTTTTGTTGTTTCAACAGATTTTGGAGTTATGTGCAAATAGGTTGTCTTCTTTGAGCAGCCTCACATACTGCCCGCCTCCTCAGCTAAAACACCTTGGCCTTGCATCAAACAGTCTTGGTTCCCATGAAGACATCTTTCCTTTTACAGGAAGGCACTGGTTAATAGACTCACAGACACATACACAGACAGACAGGCAAAGCAAACGCAGGAAGTTCTTGGGTTTTTTAAAAAGGCAACCAAAACCAGGTCAAATGAAAGCTCAGTTACAACTGCTGGCTCTTTAATTGGTCATGAGGTAAGGATGTAAAAGCCCTTAATGCCAGCATGTTCCACTGCACTGAAGGTTTTTCTGATGTGAAAGCAGTTTTTCAGAAGGGAAACCCAGAGATGGCTGCAGCAGATGCAGTAAATTAGAAACACTTTTTTTTAGGGTAGTTTTGCTCTCAACAAAAGAATTCATCATTAGAAAATAAATCTTTTGTTTTATAGCTAGCAAGAAATATAAAACCTTAATAAAACACACACCTTGTTTCTTTTATCAAACGTGGCCAAACAGATGCATGGTACTCAAGTTTATATTACTGAATATTTACCAGAGTTTTCTTTGCATTTTTTTGTAAATTTGATTGGATTCAGTGCTTTTCTTTCAGAGATTATGATAAAACGAGGTGGTCAGTAGATGGGACAAGCTATTATTTGAATATTGATAGGATATGAATACTAACAAACAGTTAGTTGGGAACCAAACTGCATAAGTGCCCACTAGGGAGCTAAAGTGTCCCCTTTGGAGCTAAAGCATGTGTTGGAAGGCAAGGATAGTTTCATTTTATATAGTACAATTCATTACAAGGATAATTCAAAGTGCTTTTCATGAATTAAACAATAACATAGAAGATAGAATTATATAAATGCATCATAAAAGCAGGTAATAATAACAATAAATAAATTAAAAAACAGTTGGATCACAATCTTAAACTAATAATACCTCTGTTACCAGTTTAACTTCAACAGTCAAAGGCAGCTCTAACAAATGGGTTTTTAAATTTTACTTAAAAGAACTCAGGCTTTCAGTACTTTTGCAGTTTTCTGCTAGTTTGTTCAAGATACATTTAGCACAGGAACTAAATGTTGCTTTTCCATTTCCAAATCTGTTTTTTTATTTAAGAGCTTGTCCATTCAGTGATTTACAGACTAACAGAAAGATTTTAAAGTCTATTCTCTGAGCTACAGGAAGCCATTGGAAGGACTTCAGAACCAGGCTGAAGTGCTCTACTTTCTTAGTGCAAATGAGAACATGAGCAGCAGTATTTTGGATCAGCTACAGCAGTCTGAATAAATGTTTAGGCAAACCTATAAAGACACTGTTACAGTAATCAATTCTACCAAAGATAAATGCATGAATAAGTTTGTTGCTTGCTTGGACATTAGTCCTGGAGATGTTCTTCAGGTAATATAAGGCTGATTTCGTAACTGTCTTTATGTGCATCTGAAAGTTCAGAGTCCACCATGACACCAAGATTTGCATCTTAATCGTTGGTTTTTAGTTGTAGTTGCTGAAGCTGTGAGCTAACTCTGGATCTCATATCCTTTGATCCAAAGATTATTACCTCAGTTTTGTTGCAATAGGTGAAAATCATGGCACATCCACATATTGATATGTTTTAAGCATCTAGCAAAGGCTCTGATGGGTTCAAAGTCATCTGATGACACTGTGATGTAAAAAAAAATGTGTGCCGTCTGCATAGTTGTGGTACCTGATGTTTTTGTTTTCTTTGATATGAGCTTAAGAGAGCCAAAAGATGTGTTCAAGTGCCCCCTTTGAAGACAAAATGCATTGCAAATCGGCCTCTCGGGAGCCAAAATGTGTGCTTAAAGGGCCAAATGTTTTAAAGACTAATAAAGCTTCAGTGTAATTTTCTGTATCTCCTTTTCTAAAGAATCAAAGACAAGTTGAATAAAAGATTTGGTAGAGACCTATTCCTAAGAAGGAGTAGAGTCACAAACCTTCAAGGCCTTCCATTGAGCATTTCAAATGCACCATTAAATTAAAATTGTTCAAATTTTAATTCTTCAGAAGTGCAAAGAATTATTTATAGCAAATCCAACAGGATTAGGAATACATTCTCTGTATATGGTGCACCTGCTCTACTACTTAGCCACACAGTGCCTCAACTATACCTTCAGACAAATTAACTAAGCGATTCCACTGGAGCTCTGCTTTGAACCACCACCTTAGTATCAAGTCTAGGCCAAAACAGTTACATAAATGACTTGGCTTTTTGGCAAACTGAACATCAGGGTTTGTATTATTTAAAAATGTGGCTTTTTTCATGCAACTCTATAAAACAGGCTGGATTGATTTGGCTGACATGCCTTCTTGTCCTATTGAAGGACTCTCCCATCCAAGTTGTGTATTAATGAAGCTCCTTCACAGTGGCAGTGGTACGATGCTCTGCTTACCCAGCCTGCAAGTTTTGGAGGATATTTGTATGTCTTGGTAGGGTACCAGTTGTGCCATATGCTTTTCAGGTTATGGATTAAACAGTATTACTGTTGAAAGAGTGGGATATTGTTTTACGGTATGTCTGTTACGTTCTCCTTGACCTGTCTGCTACTGTACGTTCCCCAATGTTGTCTAACAAACTACCAAGGTATTCAAGCAGGCCCTGCTGAGCACCTATATAGAACTCTCCCATCCCTCAAGTCTCTTATGCTAAAGGGAAATCCCTTTGCACTGGCACCAGCATATCCAGTGTTTAAAAGTGGGCAGCTTACCACAGCTGTGTTGCTTAGACTCTTCGTTCATCTCCTATGAGGAGAGGTGTCTTTTCTGCGGTTTGGCCAAAATGAACAGTAAGAGTATGAGGGGACTTCTGAAAATGACCAGCGTCTTGCACTTAGTGATATATCTCATTCATCAGAATAACAGACCTGTTTTAATATCATTTCTGTTTTGTTTTTTTTGTTTTTTTTCAGATCTGATAAAGGACATTGCGTGAGTAACAGTGAGTCTGAGCAGTTTGAGGGGAATACCAAACCCCCAGATGTTTGTGGATAAAAAGGTTCCTGACTTTCCAGTTATAACCTACACATAATTCATCTCATAGAGTTCCTTAGTTGTCCTAAATCTGATAACAAGGTAATGTTTAATTCCCAAACATTAGTTTTATATAAGTCTTCAATTTAACCGGGTCCAGATTATCTCTGGTGAAAATGAACCGAAAATGTAATTTCATCTGAATCACATTTCTGAGTACATAATTTCTGATACACATAGGGATTTCAATGAGCCAGACAGGGTTGCAAAACACACTAAATAAACTCCTGGATAAAAACAGGAATGCATTAGCACCTCTGCTTAAAATACGTGGGCCATGATTAAAAATAAATAAATAAATAATAATAATAATAATATTTTTTTAAAAAGCCAGGTCAATGGAAGGACAGCAACTAAGTGGAGAATAAAAAATAAAAATAAAAACACTTCACCAACATTTCAGGTCAAAAAAGTGAAAATGTTTGTAGCCAGAAAGTATGCAGTTGGTGGTTTTGATTAATTCCTCAGATATTACCCAGAATGAGTTGGAGAGAACCACAAAAAAAGTACAATGTACGTACACAGCTTTTGTTTTTAATTAACTTTAAATTTATCAGATTCCAAATCACAAACCATTTCAGTGACGTTTAAACTAATAAAGATTGTGTGTAAACTTTTGACACGTCCTGTACGTCATCTATAGCAGAATGTAATTCACAGTAAGTTATAAGTATCCTCACCTTTTTACTGTGTTGGACATTATCACGCTATTATCTAGCATACACACGGACAAAATTGTTGGTGACAATCGTTTAATGAAAGAAAAACCAACAACAGTAACAGAAATAACTTGAATTTTACAAAAGTAATAATGAATAAAAATGTTATGAAAATCAGTAAATGAAGGTCAGACATGTTTTTTTTAAATCATGCCTCAATAGAATGATTAAAATAAATGAATATATAAAAAAAAAAGGCCTGGATAAAAATGATGGTGCCCCGGGAAAAAGACT